GACTTTTCAATTTGAATGTTTTCCTTGTTAAAGAAAATTAACCTGAAATATATAATACTCTACTAAAAAGTGATCCAGTGGACTAAATATTATGCAATTATTGAAAAGGACTCCAAAGCAGTATAGAAAAATTAGGAATTAATAAATGAAAAGCTATCAGAACTATGTAAAGTATACAGGTAACTGATATTAGATGATATATGAAGAAATTAAAACAGTGTTGTTGAGATTGTGAACAAATTTGGCTTTCTCAAAAAATCTTTTGGGAAAGTTAGTCATTCATTAACTAATTTTGTTAAACTAAAAGGAACTTGAGTTTTAGAGCAGCCCTTGAGGCCTGAGGCCAATGCTAAGGTAAACTCCTCAGCCTCCTGAAGAATATGGCTGTGGCTGGCAGAGTCAGGAGAAAGGTGGAGATTAACTAGTGCAGCAGTAAAACTGTACCTTCAGGCTCATAATGTAAGGATGATGATAATGACTTGGAGAGCTTACCATGTGCCAGACACTTTGCCAAGCACTTGCATGGACTCCGTTAATTCTGTTGTAGGCGGCTGGAACAGCACTGGGTGTTAGACCCATAGGGGTCAGACTGGACCTGGGTTCAGCAACCTCGGTACTTGGGTTCTGGCTAGGAAATAATTCAGAGCCAAGACCTAAACTGTAAGAGAACATTTATTTGGTAAATTACAGCGGTAGAAGAAGTAATTCCTAGAAGAAATGGGCTTAGGAAACAAGTTATAGAGGTAAAGGAAGGGCCCTTGGAACTTGGGAGTGAGGAAGGTAATGGTAATGCACCTGGGGGGATAGAGAAGGGGAAGGGAAAAGGCTGCGCATGTTCCCAGGAGGGAAAGTGCGCTAGGTCCTCTGTGCCTCTGTCCTAAGGGTTTTAAGAGTGAAAATGTTAGGGGAGGTCCCAGGAGAAGATCTCAATAGAATATTCAGCAGTTTTCCAGGTGTGTCCTTTCAGGTTTGTGGTCTCCACTGATTGATTGGCTGGCACCAGGGCAGGGGTAATTATTCAATGATGTTGGTCCTGTGGTCAGCTGTGGCTGGTTTGGTTGCTCTTCTAGGCCCTAGAGCTGAAATGCAACTAAAGCCTAGATGTTATCTCTAGGGAGGAAAGGTCAGGGGGTCCAAACTGCATGACCAGTGATATGCTAGGGGAGGAAAGGTCACCCTGGTGGCAAGGTCCCACCCTATATTTTGTCCTTTGCTAGGCACCGAGAGCCTTCCACTCTGATGACCTTTTGTACCTAGCCCAATGTCCTCGCTCTGCTCATGTCTGTCTAACTGCCTACCATAGTTCACTCCACAGCCCTGTTCACGCACCCCTCACTGGTAAGCTTTGGTGCCATGAATGGAATCATTCTGTCAACCTGCTCCTCCCAGGAGTGTACTGTTTACACCGAGCTGTTCACAACTGCCTGGTTGGCAGAAAGGTCCACAATGCTTCCTCAGTGCCTGAAATCCCACTGGCTTTGCCCAGGCTGGGGGTAGGTAATTCCGCCTCCTCTGCTCTCCTTAGCGAACAGAACAGAGCCCAGTTTGGGGATGAAACCTGATGCTGAAGCATTCACAGCTACACCTAGTGTGTCCTCCCAGCCTAGCTTTGGACCACTCACTTCCTGCTTCTCCTGCTGTGCCCCTGTTTACTTTTGTCCTATTGTTCCTAAAACTGCAAGTAAATTTTTGTTTCTAGAGCAGGGGTGAGGAGGACAACATCAGAACTCTTTCAGCCTCTCCTTTAAAACCTGGAAAAGAGCCTGGGACAAAGTCCACACTTGCCACACCCTCTTTGGCTGTCGTCTTTTCTCTTTTGATAACTTTTTTCCCTTCTACCTCCAGTCTGCCAGGAGACTATTTCCCAGAAATTCCTTTTTATCATTTTTTTTTATTACCTCATTTTACTTGTCAGTTTATGCCTGGGTTATTCCCAAATGAGGAGCAAAATAGGTTCTTTGTAAATGTCAGCTGATGATAACATGCCAGATTTACAAATTGCCTAATTTGTTTTCTTGGAGCCCATTCTTTTAAAACTGGACAACCAGTGGGTCCGGGCTAGCTGTCACTGCTTGAGCCAATTAAACAGAGACAGGGTTATCCTATATATTAAAAGTGGTAATATGCAAATTGACCCTAACAGCAGAATGACTGGGAATGACTGGTCACTATGACACACACTGACCGACCACCAGGGGGCGGACGCTCAATGCAGGAGCTGCCCCCTGGTGGTCAGTGCGCTCCCACAGGGGGAGCTCTGCTCAGCCACAAGCCAGGCTGACGGCTGCCAGCACAGCGGTGGTGGCGGGAGCCTCTCCCGCCTCAGCAGCGCTAAGGATGTCTGATGCAGCTTAGGCCTGCTCCCCGCTGGCAAGTGGACATCCCCCGAGGGCTCCCGGGCTGCCAGAGGGATGTCTGATTGCCAGTTTAGGCCTGATCCCCCGGGGAGCATGCCTAAGCCAGCAGGTGGGCATCCCCCGAGGGGTCCCAGACTGCGAGAGGGCACAGGCCGGGCTGAGGGACCCGCCCGAGTGCACACATTTTTGTGCACTGTACCTCTAGTCTATATCTAAAAGCCTAAGCGTCCAGATGACTGGCCGGTAGGTATGACATGCACTGACCCCAGGGGGCAGATGCTCAACACAGGAGCTGCCCCCTGGTGGTCAGTGTGCTCCCACAGCCAGCCTCCTGTGATCCCTCCCCTCTGGCAGGGCCAACTTCCCTCAGTCCCTCCCCCTGGCCAGCCAACCTCCTGCGGTCCCTACTCCTGACTGGCCGGCCCCAATCAGCCCCGATCGCCAGCCAGGCCGAGGGACCCTACCCATGCATGAATTCGTGCACTGGGACTCTAGTATCATATATGAGCATTTATTCCAATAATGTCAGCAGTATGGGAGAGCAGCAGGTAAGTCATCCACAAAAATCTGCTCTGACACGCCCCGCCCCCAAGCCAGCTGTTTATATTGGGTAGGGCAAAGATTACATGGGGAAGTAGTCAAAAGGAATAATGGGTATGCACCCTGGTCAGCATGGCTCAGTGGTTGAGAATCGACCTATGAACCAGGAGGTCATAGTTCGATTCCTGGTGAGGGCACATGCTTGGGTTGTGGGCTCGATCCCCAGTGTGGGGCATGCAGGAGGCAGCCAATAGATAATTCTCATCATTGATGTTTCTCTCCCTCTCCCTTCTCTGAAATTAATAAAAATATATTTAAAAAAAAGAATGGGTATGCAAAATGGGTATTATTACAGGCATGGGGAAGTTAGCTGTTCAGGCTGGGGAGGGACTTTTTGTTTGAGCAACTAGGCCAGGTCAAGGTTAACAGAGCATGATCAATATTTCTTATAACTATAGCTAGTCCCCAATATTCTATTTCTGCCCCTAACACCTGTACTGGGAACTCAGTAGAGGTCATGCAATCACAGAAAAGAGGCTGATCCAAGGCTCTGGTGTTCTTTTACTGAGGGAAATGGTAAAGCCACTAATGCTTGGTGCAGGGGTGAACCAGATTTTAAAGGTAAAATCTGTTTGCCCTGGCCAATGTTGCTTATTGGTTATGTTTTAGGTGGTAGGAATGGCACCATGTGTCTGATTGGTGGGGGTTAGACTGGACCTGGGTTCAGCAACCTTGGTACTGGGGTTCTGGTTAGGAAAGAATTCAGAGCCAAGACCCAAACTGTAAGAGAACATTTATTTGGTAAGTTACAGAGGTAGAAGTCATTCCTAAAGAAATAGGCTTAGAAAACAAGTTATAGAGGTAAAGGAAGGGTCCTTGGAACTTGGGCGTGAGGAAGCTAATGGTAAAGTGCCTGGGGAAGGGGAAGGGAAAGGGAAGGGAAAAGCAGGGGTGTGCTCCCTGGAGGAAGAGTGCTCTGGACTGGGTCCTCCATCCTAAGGGTTTTAAGGGCGGAGATTTTAGGGGAGGTCACAGGAAATCTCAAAGTATTCAGCAGTTTTCCAGGTGTGTCCTTTCAGGTTTGTGGTCTCCACTGATTGATTGGCTGGCACCAGGGCAGGGGTAATTATTCAATGCTGTTGTTCCTTTGGTCAGCTGTGGCTAGTTTTGTTGCTTATCTGGGCCTGGAGCTGAAATACAACTGAAGCCTAGATGTTATCTCTAGGGAGGAAAGGTCAGGGGGTCCAAACCTCATGACCAGCAATATGCTAGGGGAGAAAAAGTCACCCTGGGGACAAGGTCCTATCCTACATTTGATTGTCCATTGCTAGGCACCTGGGACTTTCCATCCTGGTGACCTTCTGTACCTGGCCCCTTGTCCTTGCTCTGCTCATGGCTAACTGCCTATAGCAGTTAGAGCATCTGCCTTTGCGCTGAAGGGTCTTGGGTTCCATTCCTGGTCTGGGGCAAGTTAGAAGCCTGCCTTCATCTGAGTGAGGGAGGCAACCAACTAGACAATGAATCTCTCTCACATCGATGTTTCTCTCTCCCTCCCTTCCACTCTCTCTAAAAATCAATGGGAAAAATATCCTCAGATGAGGATTAACAAAAAATAAAATCAGTTTAAGTGCCCAGTCTTAAATTCACTACAAGTTCCCTACCCAACAGTGCCAGCCTGAAACCTCAAACTGATGAATAAGTATGTGTTTTTAATCAAAGTATGCATTTTCATAGCCTCTAAGTTAGGGGACTGAAAGAAAATTTCACAATTTCCTTTTCAACTAAAATTGGTTTTGTGTTAAGTCTTAACTACCTGACATTTAACACATAGTTTTAATTAAGCATAGACTTCATTCCCGAGTCTATTTTGATTGCTCTTGATTTAGTTTGCATACTAATTCCTTTCATTTTTTTTAGCTGTTAAATTTCCTCCTTTGACACTCTAGAGATGAGTTAGAGTTGAGACATCTCCCCATTTTGCTCACTTTGAAGCATTCAATGGTGAGCTCAGATCAAAGGGTCAGCTGGCTTCCAAAGGGCCACAGGGATGCTGTTTGAGTGGAGGGCAACTTCTCCAACTGGGACTAATTTTGTGTTCCTTAGTTTCCCACAGTCAGATCACCCGCCTCTACAGCCGGTTCACCAGCCTGGACAAAGGCGAGAATGGGACTCTCAGGTAGGCAGTTCCTTTCTTTATTTTCTGGCAATGTCTGAATAAATGCTTTTATCCCAAGGGCAAACATGATAGGCATCTAGCATGCAGAGCAGGGACCATTTCTTCAGTTGTCTTTGAGCATCATTGATCCAAAAGGGAGTTAAATAAGCAGAACACCAGCATTACATCTATCACTAGGTGCTTGCTGTTTACTCCAACTCCCCTTAGTTTGGGTGGCCATTGTTCTGGTCCTAAGAATGTATGTACATTTGAGAATTTCAGCTCTCTGCTTGAATTTTCCCACAGTCCTTTCCCAAAAATATTAGCTTTATGAGGTTGACCCGTAGCAATCCAAGATGGTCAGGTTGTTTTGTATTTCCCAATACAACCCATAATCCTAGGGTACATCATTTTGTGTTTATTAATATTACATAAGATGTTCAATATTTTAGTCCAGAGCAGTGATTCTCAACTAAGAGCTATTTTGCCCCTGGGTGGCAAAATGTCTGGAGAAATTTTTAATTGTCATGACTGAGAAATGCTGCTCTTGTCTAGTGGGTAGAGGCCAGGAATGCTATTAAACATCCTCAGTGCACAGGACATCCTCCCACAACAAATAATTATTCTGCTCTAAATATCAAAAGTGCCACTGGTCTAGAGTAAGTATATGATCTCAGAGTAATGTAATGTTATATCATTTCATATTTGTAATTGTCTTATCAAAGTCAAATGAAAAAAATACCTCCTTACCACTACCTCCCAACCTAACTCTCAGTACAGTAAAACCTTTTGTTACTGTTGTTCCTGTTTTGATTGACTGTATAGAATGAAGCTGCTTGCCTTTCTGGTGGCTGGCAGAAAGCAGTTTAGTACTTCTTTGGGAGGCTTCTCGTATGGATGTGGGATATAGCATAAAAGGGGAAGGAATATAGTTGCTAAGTCTTTGTACATATCCTCATAGCTCTTCTGCCTGAGGATATGTCCAAAGACTGAGCAACTATATTCCTAGGGCTATGTTTGTTCAAGGCAAAATCTGCCTTTACTAGAAGCTGGGATTGACCAAAACCATGCTGCACAGTCATTAAATCAATGACTATGGAATACCTACCATGTGCAAAGACCACACTAGGTGCTTTTTCTTAATTGAGGCAAAATACATATAAAATTTACCATTCTAAAGTGTACAATCCAGTGGCATTAAGTATGTTCACAATGTTGTGTAACCATAACCACTATCTAGTTCTAGAACATTTTCATCACATATGGAAACCCCTTACCTATTAAGCAGTCTACTTCCCGTTCCTCTGGCAACCACTAATCTACTTTCTTCTTCTCTCTGGACATTTTATATAATACTAGAGGCCTGGTGCATGGATTCAGGATCCCTGAGGGGTCCCAGATTGCAAGAGGGCACAGGCCAGGCCGAGGGACCCCACTGGTGCATGATTGGGGCCAGGGAGGGACTGTGGGAGGGCTCCAGAGCATATCTGGACCCCAGCAGCAAGCTAACCCACCGGTCTGAGCGTCTTGCTCCCTGGTGGTCAGTGCACATCATAGTGACTGGTAGAACGAATGGTAGTGACTGGTAGAACGAATGGTTGGACACTTAGCATATTAGGCTTTTATTATATAGGATATGGAATCATACAGTATGTGGCATGATGTTTTCAAAGTTCTTTCATATTATAACATGTGTCAGTACTTCATTCCTTTTTATGGCTGAATAATATTCTGTTGTATGTATGTATCACATTTTGTTTAATCATTCATCACTTGGTGGACATTTGGGTTGTGTACACCTTGGACATTTGGGTTGTGTACACCGTTAGGCTAGCATTTTTGTGTGGGCATATGTTTTAATTCTTTTGGGCATATCCGTAGGAGTAGAATTTGCATCATGGTAATTTTATGCCTAATTTACTGAGGAACCACCCAGCTGTTTCCCAAGCAGCTGTACCATTTTACATTTCGACCAGCAATGTATGTGGGTTCAAACCTCACCAATGCTTATTATGTCATTCGATTGTGTGAGTGGTATATCATTGTGGTTTTGGTTTGTATTTCCCTGGTGGCTAATGATGTTGAGCATCTTTTAATGTGCTGGTTAATCATTTGTATATCTTCTTTGGAGAAATTCCAATCATGTCCTTTGCCTATTGTTTAATTGAATTGTTTATCTTTCTGTTGTTGAGTTGCAGGAATTCTTTTTATAGATATTAGAACCTTTTCAGATATGTGATTTGCAAATATTTTCTCTATATGGATTATCTTTTCACTCTTTGAAGCACAAAAGTTTTAAATTTTGATGAGTCCAGTTTATCTGATTTTTCTTTTGGTGCATGTGCTTTTGGTGTCATATCTAAGAAACCATTGCAATATCCAAGGTCATGAAGATTTATCCCTCTGTTGTCTCCTAAGAGTTTTGTAGTTTCAGCTCTTATATTTAACTCTGATTCATTTTGACTTATTTTATATATATATATATATATATATATATACAAAAAAATATGTATTTTATATATATATGTGTGTGTGTGTGTGTGTGTGTGTGTGTGTGTGTGTCTGTCTGCCTGCCTGCCTGCTGGGGGCCTGCCCCCAGCCACACCATGGAGGCTTGGAATAGGAGCCCCTCTGTGTTGATCTCTCAGGCTCCTGGCCTCCACTGCATGTTGTACTCTCCCTTGAGCTATGGCCAGGATGGGGGTGCTGCTTGCAAGCCGGGCTTTCCTGCTCCAGGATCGCCATGGTGACGGGGGAGCAGGCCCAGCTGGGGGCTGCCCACAGGCCGGGCTTTCCTGCTCCTGGATCAGGCCCAGCTTGGGGCTGCCCTCAGGCCAGGCTTGCTTTCCTGCTCCCAGATCACCATGGCAACTGGGGAGCAGGCAAAGTTTGGGGCTGCCCGAAGGCCAGGCTTGCTTTCCTGCTCCCAGATCCTCATGGCGACCGGGGAGAAGGCGCAGCTGGGGGCTGCCCGCAGGCCGGGCTTGCTTTCCTGCTCCCGGATCAGGCGCAGCTGGGGGCTGCCTATAGGCCGTACTTTTCTACTTACCGATGGCCAGATCACCACAGCGACCCAGGGCCCAGCGGCACTTTCCTGCTCTCCAATAGTCATAGAGTCCCGGCTGGGGGCAGGGCTTAGCAGTGTGGGGCTCAGGCGGCACACAGGGGTCCCAGCTGGGGGCGGGGCTTATGCCCCGCTGCCCAGGGCTGAACATGGGGCCCGGGTGGCAGCTCGTGCTGTCCCGCCCTGCCTGTAGTATAGTATAGAGGCCTGGTGCACGGGTGGGGGCCGGCTGGTTTGCCCTGAAGGGTGTCCCGGATCAGGGTGGCGGTCCTGCTTGGGTGCCTGGCCAGCCTGGATGATGGGCTGATGGCTGTTTTTAGGCTGCCCGCACCCCCTTCAGGGTGGGGGTTCCCACTGGGGTGCCTGGCCAGTCTGGGTGAGGGGCTGAGGGCTGTTTTCAGGCTGGCGGGTGACTGAAGCTCCCAGCCTCTCCTTTTTTTTTTTTCTTTTTTTTTTTTTTTATTCTGGGATTTATTTACTTTCTATGGCTGTCACTGGAGCTGAGAGCTGGCTTTAGCTCTGAAGCCGGCTCCAGCTTGAGGCCTCAGCTGCTGAAAGCAGATATCTGGGCTTTGTTTAGGTTCTATAATTGAAACACTGTTGCCATCACTGCCGCTCTAAGCTCTGAGCCCACTGCCAGCTGAAAGCAGCTATCTGGAGCTTGTTTAGGTTCTATAATTGCAACTTTGTTGCATCCGGAACTCAGAGCTGGGCTGCCACAGGCCGGGAACCTTGGCTTCCTCCATCACTGGAGCAAGCAAGCCTCCTGTTCGCCTCAGCTGCCTGGCGGCCGGCAGCCATCTTGGTTGGCAGTTAATTTGCATATCCTGCTGATTAGCCAATGGGAAGGGTGTTGGGGTTATGGTCAATTTGCATGTTTCTCTTTTATTAGATAGGAGATATATATGTATATATATAAAATGTATATATGGTGTGAGATAAGAGTGAAACATTATTTTTTTGTGGGTGGATGTCCACCTGGCTCAGCACCATTTGTTGAAGAGACTATGTAAATTTGCACTTGAAAAATAAACCGGACAGGAAATCTCTACTTTTTTCCATTTAGCTCCAATACTTGAATAATTCACTTGGGATTACATCTTCCTCATAAATTTAGGTTTAACCACTAAGATATAGATTCAAATTAGTTCTGAGTTGCCCTGGACAGTGTTGCTCAATGGTTAGAGTGTTGGCCCAAGCACCTCCTATTGGTATATCACGGGATATAAATATACATTGTAACCTCACAAATGTTACTTTCTTCAGCTGCCATTATATTGGGTGAAATATACCACTGCTATTGAAATTGGTCTTTCTGAAAAGGGAGTGGAGTCTGGTAAGGGATCCTGAATTGGTCTTTTGTGGGGCAGATCAAGATGAGAGCTCAGTCAATATCTGAATATAAAGATATTTTCTTGTCATAGCCGGTTTGGCTCAGTGGATAGCGTGTCAGCCTGTGGACTGAAGGGTCCTGGGTTCAATTCCGGTCAAGGGCACATGCCTGAGTTGTGGGCTTAGTCCCTGGTAGGGGGTGTGCAGGAGGCAGCTGATCAGTGATTCTCTCATCATTGATGTTTCTATCTCTCCCTTCCTCTCTAAAATCAATAAAAATTGTTTTTTTGTTTTTAAAAAGATGGTTTCTTTGTTTAAATACCCTCTGTGCTGATCTTATAAGTCAAAATAATGATTACCCTTTGGGGAGGGGAACAGGTAGAGACAAAGGGAGCATCTGAGTATTGGTAATATCAATGTTTCTTGACTTGGGTGCCGGTTACAATCTTCACCATGAAAATTCATCATGTTGAATGCTTATGATTTGTGCTCTTTTCAATATATATGTTACACTTGAATAAAAGTTTACTTTTAAGATATCCTCTACTTTGAACAATTTTAATATTGGGTCTTTGTCAGGTAATACTTTTTCTAAAATAATACCTTGATGAAAAATGTTCCTGGATATTAAAGCCTATAGGTTAAGTTGACAATAGGGGCTTCAATATAGACCAGCTAAACTCTGCAATGAAGTTATTACTGGGAATTGCTAGTTGGCTGTGTTGTTACATATTGCTTAACGATAACCTGTAAATTTTAGGAGATAGTGTCCTAAATGATAGCCATTTATCTGCTTACACACTAGGACTTTTTGAGGTTCATTTTCTTGTTTGACTTTATCCAGAGGACAGATTTCAACATTCTGGACAAGCACTTATTCTGGTATCACAGATGAGAACCATGATGCCAAACTAATGCCAAACTAATTCTCATTCTTTTGGTACATATCTTTATTTTCTTCTCTCAAAGCTTCATATATCTCCTGTTGATGTTCTAAACCTTTTATGGGTTATTTTCTGTTATTCATTGCTCAGTATTAGGAAAACCTTCACAATCTAAAAGCATGTCCTTTTCTGAGAAGTTTTTGTCTTTTCTGGGAAGTTTTCCTCTATTGTGTCTTTGAGTATTTCCATTTCTCTCCTTTTTTTAATTATTAAATTAATCTTTATGGCATTTCTCTTTATTGGACTACCATGACTCAGTTTTCTGGTTGTTTGACTTTTTCCTTTGCTTCCTGAAAGATATCCTTGAATTTATTTTTCAGTCCTTTTATGAACTTTTATAGTCCACAATCATATTTTTAATTTCTAAGAATCTTTTTTGTTCTCTGCCCTCTGCTCTCTCACAATAGCCTATTTCTGTTTTACCATTGCAAAACTTATCAAATGTCTATTGGGTTACTTATTAGAATCTTTCATTCTAATAATTCTTTCATCCCCTGAATTATTATCTTATTCATCTTAATTCTACTCTTTTGTGCTATTAATTTTCCTAAGATTTCTGGTGAGCCTTGGTTGTCCATTCAGATTTATGAAAAGGCCTGGCTGGATTACTGTAGAAAACTGTTATGGGTTTGTTTGTGGTTTGTTTTTCTACAGGTCTTTCCCTTCTGTACTCTGAGAAGGACCATTAAGTTGATAGGCCTCACTCTAGGATATGTGGTCAGAGAGCAAGGGGACAGATTTGCAACCCCCTTCCCCAAATAAAAGGATTGTCTTTCTGGGTGGCCAACCTCCCACACTTGGTTGAGGTTTTGCTCAGGTAGATCTTTCAGTTTCTTTCCATAGCAGTGCTCTGTTTGTATATTTTATTTGGAGAAATACCTATTCAAGTCCTTTGCCCATTTTTTAAATTTTAATTTTAATTTTTATTACAGTTTAAAATTTTAGCCGAAACCGGTTTGGCTCAGTGGATAAAGCGTCGGCCTGCGGACTCAAGGGTCCCAGGTTCGATTCCGGTGAAGGGCGTGTGCCTGGGTTACGGGCACATCCCCAGTGGGAGATGTGCAGGAGGCAGCTGATCGATGTTTCTAACTCTCTATCTCTCTCCCTTCCTCTCTGTAAAAAATCAATAAAATATATTTTTTTAAAAAAATAAATAAATAAAATTTTATTTAGCTTTTTCAAAACATGTTTTTTCAATTTGAATTGAGATGGTATCAGTGTATGTTTTTTTTTTGTTTTTTGTTTTTTTTTAATATATTTTATTGATTTTCCACAGAGAGGAAGGGAGAGAGATAGTCAGAAACATCGATGAGAGAGAAACATCGATCAGCTGCCTCCTGCACATCTACTGGTGATGTGCCTGCAACCCAGGTACATGCCCCTGACCGGAATCGAACCTGGGACCCTTCAGTCCGCAGGCCGACGCTCTATCCACTGAGCCAAACCGATTTCGGCCAGTGTATGTTTTTTAAGATAATTTTTTAATTTTCAGTTATAGTTGATATACAATATTATATTAGTTTCAGATGTACAACCCAGTGATTAGACATTTATATAACTTACAAAGTGATTATCCCAATAAATCTAATATTCATCTGATGCCATATACAGTTATCACAATATTATTGACTCTATTCCCTATGATATAGTTTATAACCCATGACTATTCTGTAACTATCAATTTGTACTTCTTAATTTATATGTCAAAATGATTTCTGTATCTATGGATCTATTTCTGTTCTGCTTGTTTGTTTTTTAGATTCCACGTATAAGTAAAGTCTTATGGCATTTGTCTTTCTCTGTCGGACTTATTTTATTCAGCACAATACCCTGTAGGTCTATCTTAAGTACCAGGTTATATTATGAATGACTTCTGGTTCATTCATTGCTATAAAAAATATTATCCTAAGAGGTCAAGGAAGATTAGAATCCAGATTATTGTTCCAGAGCTTTGTGCTCAGTCTCCTATTTCTACCTTTGTCACCATCAGATGTGCTGGAGATGAGTTTGTTGAATTAAGCACTGTAAATGTTAAACCACAAGAGGAACAGTATTAAAGGCTCCCGGGTAAACAGAAACACTAGCATTTAGTACAAAGAGGGTGAAAGAGTAACTTTTATCTCTTCTGTTAGTAAACATCTTAAAGGCAAGGAATCAGATTTGTTGAGTTTATATTTCTTCATATACTTATGACCCAGATTTACCAGTTAACATTTTGCCACATAATTCAGTGTGTATTTCCTATAACAAGGACCTTCCCATACCAAAATCAAGAAATTTAGCATTTTGATGCAGTACCATTTTATAATATTTTATATTCTGTATGGTCATATTTCATTTTTACCTATTGGTTCCATAATGTCCTTCATAGCAATTTTTCTTCTAGTCTAGGATCATGCATTGAGTTTAGTTACATGGCTCATTAGTCTCCTTGGATCTGAAACAATCATGCCTTTCCCTGTCCTTTATGACGTTGGTATTTTTGAAAAGTATAGCCCAGTTATGTTGTAGACAGCTTTATATTGGCACAGAAAATCAATCAAGTTTTCTTTTTGAAATACTTATTGAACATTTTTTGGGAGAACACCTTTCTTTCAAAAAGTTTAATATTGGAGCCTTGACTGGTTTGGCTTAGTGGATAGAGCATCAGTCTGCGGACTGAAGGGTCCCAGGTTTGATTCCAGTCAAGGGTACGTGCCTGGGTTGCGGGCTCAATCCTCAGTAGGAGGAGTGCAGGAGGCAGCCAATCAATGATTCGCCCTCATCATTGATGTTTCTATCTCTCTTTCCTTCTCCCTTCCTCTCTGAAATCAATAAAGATTTTTTTTTAAAGTTTAATATTGGAAATAAATGTGCTTTTAGAAAAAGACGTGCTTTAACTTACAGACTTAGATTTAAATCACGGTTCTGCTACTTAGTGGCTTTGTAGCATGGGGCAAGTTACTTTATCTCACTGACTCAACTTCCTCAGTTCTAGAAGGATATAGGTAAAATGTTAGCATTAAGAAATGAGATAATGTATATAAACAGAGTGGCACATAATGTGTATACAGTGAGAGGTAACTAATAATACACCAACATAACTTCCAAGTTGTGAGTAGATAACTACTCTTGCCATGTTTGAAGGTTAAATAGTCCTCTAACTCTAGTCTGTAGAAGATAATGGAGAAAAAAACAGACTCAGAGCAAGGAAGTCTGGAAATCAGTTAGTTTGTTACATTTTATTCTTTCCTTGGATTTAAGGATTGCCTAAGAGTTATTTGTATGTCATAGTGCTGTAGATCTTCCTGTTCATTCTCCAAACTTAATAACTAAGTACAAAATGGTAATGTTCAAGGAATCATTTACAGGGACAACTGAGTATTTGCTCGTTGGTGGTTTATTGACGTAACCTGTGTGCTGAATTCACTGGAATGTGGCAAAGTTAAATCTGGCTTCTTCCACTCCTAACTTGGTGCAAGAAACACTTGGCAGCTATTAAAGTGCTATTCTTTGCAGTTATTTAGTATAATTTGCCACAGAAGTAAATTCCAGAAGGTAATATCCTTGCTAGGAGTTCATGCTAAGGGCCAATGGTCTCTAACTCAAGGTGATTCTCTTGGCAGCCGGGAAGATTTCCAACGGATTCCAGAACTTGCCATCAACCCATTGGGGGACCGGATCATCAATGCCTTCTTTCCAGAGGGGTGAGTTCCTGCAGTTATTTGGCTTCCTTTCTGAGGTTGATCTGGAATAATGATGTTGGTTGGGTCATCTCAGACCACAATCCTCCTGATTATATTAAACATCCCTAACGTGGTCATATCTAAAATATGCCTTTTCTTCTACCCTCCTCCCTTTTTAAACTTTAAACAGGTATATAAGCCCATCTTTAAAATTCTGTTTTTAATCCCTGTTTATCTATTTTTTTTATTATTTTTTTAAATCCTCACCTGAGGATTTTTTTAATTGATTTTTAGAGAGAGATGAAAGGGAAGAGAGAGAAACATCGATATGAGAGAAACATTGACCAGTTGCCTCCCATACATGCCATAACCAAGGATCAAACCAGAAACCTATGTATGTGCTCTGACTTGGAATCAAACCTCCAACCTTTTTAGTATACAGGACAACACTCCAACCAACTGAGCCACCCTGCCAGGGCTAATCCCTGTTTATCTTTGATATAAAACTAAACTCTTTAAAAACTTTATTTGGAAATTATTTCAATATACAGAAAAGTTGCAAAAATTGAAAATAGTGCAAAGCACACCTGTATATCTTTTACCCAGACACATCTATTATTATATTGTTGTTAACATGTTGCTTCATTTGCATGTACTTTCTGTCTTTCAGTCCAAACCAATAAAAATATAATCAAGACACAGACATACTTATGCATTTTCTAGTAGCCACATTTAAAAGTAAAAATTAACAAGTTAAATGAACTTCAGCAATATATATTTTATTTAATCTTATATATTCAGAGTATCATTCAATATGTAATTAGTATTTTAAAATTATTAATATATCTTAACAGTCTTTTTTAAAATACGTTTTTGAAATTCAGTGTGTAATTTACACTTACAGCACCTACCAAATGCTATAACCATATAAAATATTAGGTAATTTATTCTTTGTTTTCCAGCTTTATTGAAGATATGATTGACATATAACATTGTGTAAGTTTAAGATATACAACAGTGATTTTATAGATTTTATTGCAAAATGATTACCACAATGACATTAGTTAACATATTCATCACCTCACATAGTTAACTTTTTTGTATGTGGTAAGAACTTTTATAATATACTCTCTTAGCAACTTTCAAATATATAGTATAGTCCGGCCAGCCTGGTTCAGTGGTTGAGCGTTGACCTATGAACCAGGAGGTCATGGTTCGATTCCCAGTCAGGGAACATGCCCGGGTTGTTGGCTTGATCCCCAGTGGGGTACGTGCAGGAGGCAGCCAGTCAATGATTCTCTCTCATCATTAATGTTTCTATCTCTCTCTCCCTCTCCCTTCCTCTCTAAAATCAATAAAAATATATTTTAAAAAAACACACACAATATAAAATATATAGTATAGTATTGTTAACTATAGTCACCATACTGTACATTACAACCCAGAACTTATTCATCTTATTACCATTACTCATTCCTCCCATTATCTATAATAATAAAAGTGTAATATGCTAAGTAGACCAGACAGCCAAACAACCTTCCAGACGTCATTCTGGATGAAGCCACCAGGGTAGGGGCCAAGGCAGAAGCAGTTAGGGGCAATCAGGCAGGCAGGCAGACAAAGTGGTTAGGGGTGATCAGTCAGGCAGAGTGGTTAGGGGCGATCAGGCAGGCAGGCAAGTGGTTAGGGCAATCAGGCAGGCAAGCAGGTGAGTGCTTTGGAGCCAGCAGTCCTGGATTGTGAGAGGGATGTCCAACTGCCGGTTTAGGCCCAATCCCACTGTGGGTTCGGGCCTAAACCGGCAGTTGGACATCCCCCAAGGGGTCCTGGATTGCGAGACGGTGCAGGCCAGGCTGAGGGGACCCACCTCCCGTGCATGAATTTCGTACACCGGGCCTCTAGTTTTAATATATTATTTATATTCCAATTTTATCAGTTCATCCAATAATCTCCTTTATAGCACTTTTGCCCCCTTTAATAACAGAATGCAGTCTGGGTCAGTTGTCATGTATCTTTAGCCTTCTTTAATTTGGAATATTTGCACAGCCTTTGTTTCTTTTTGTGGGTTTTATTTTGTTTTGTTAGTATTTTTTTTACAACATTGACTAAGAATACAGTTGTCTCCACGTCATACGCACTTACTTTCTCAAATATAAAGTTTGTCTAATATAAAACTAGGCTGTTGATATGCTTCACTACCTAATACACTGCCTTCAAAGTACTGAGTCAATATTTATTGATTTGATTGGGTACCTTTTCATGAATAGAGTTAGTCATATAATCTTGTTTTAAGTAATCGCTAACAATCTCTTCCTGGTTCCTTGTGGCTTGTCTGTATGACCCAAAGGACTTTAAGAAGTTATGTGCTTGCGAGTTCTTAATAATGAGACTAAGTATCAGTGAGGACACTATCACATAAAATGCCTGGAGAAATTTTAGAACTCTGAATTGAGAGCAAAGGAATTTGCAGGTTGAGAATTTGGATACTCAGTAAATCTGAGTGATAGTCAGAGGAACACCAGCAGCCAATTTATATGAAGGCAGGAATATGAAGACTGAGACCTGCTCTTTCAGATTCATGTTGACCATGAGTAATGTGCTACCCTTCCTCATTTTCCCCCATTTCTCTCCCTGAACTGCCCTGTTTGTTTTAGGTGTGGTTTTTCTACTTCTTCTTTTAGCTCTTGCAGAACATTGAACTTCTCCAGAGAGACCTTTCACAGCTATGTTTCAGATCTTTTGCAAAGAAAAGTAAACCCTATAGAGTCATTTTGCCAACTTTTTTTCAAAGTTCCTCAGTCACCCTTGATTATTTGAAGAAGTAGCTTGTGGAAAGTGTTTTGTAAGGCCAAACCACCTTTGTTGTGACTGCAGTATCGTCCACCATCCTACCCAGGGATCTGCTGCTAAGGACAATAGGCAGATGTACATGAGGAAGCTGAGGCCCACACTGGGATGCACTGCTAGGCTCTTAGCAAGCTGCACCTCTGCTTCTTGCTCTTTCTAGTAAGATATAAATATCTAGCTTACAAGGTATGTTTTTTGTCTAGTCTTATGCAAGTGGATTTTTTTTTTAATTCTCACTTGAGGACATGTTTTATTGATTTTTAGAGAGAGGGGAAAGTATGGGAGAGAGAGAGAAACATTGATGCAAAAGAGACATCAATCGGTTGCCTCCTATTACGTGCCCGGGGATCGAACATGCAACCCAGGTATGTGCCCTGACTGGGAATCGAATCCACAATCTTTCAGTATACAGGATGATGCTCCAACCAACTGAGCCACACTAGCCAGGGCTGGAATCTTTTTTTTAAACAATGTGATTTGAGCTCTGGCTGGTGTGGCTCTGTTGGTTGGGCGTCATCCCGTGCACTGAAAAGTCGCCAGGTCAATTGGTCAGGGCACATGTCTGGGTTGCAGGTTCAATCTCTGGTCAAGGGTATGTATGGGAGTCATTCGATGGATGTTTCTCCTTCTTCTTTCCTCTCTCAAGTAAAATCAATTAAAAAAGCATATTTAAAGAATGAGATTTGCCCCATTGGTGTGGCTCAGTTGGTTGAATGTCATCCAATGCATGCACCGGGAGGTCACTAGTTTGATTCCCAGTTAGGGTACATACCAGGGTTGTGGGTTTCATCCCCAGAGGGGGCCATACAGGAGGCAGCAGATCAGTGTTTCTATTTGAAAGTGGAACATTGGTATATAGTCAATTTTTTATTGTTGTTATCCTCACCTGAGGATATTTTTCCATTGATTTTTAGAGAGAGTGTAAGGGATGGGGAGAAGACAGAGAGAAACATTGATGTAAGAGAGACACATCGATTGGTTGCCTCCTGCATGCCCCCCCAATCAGGGCCAGGGATCGAGCCTGCAACCAAGGTAGGTACTCTTGACCAGAATCGAACCCAATTACCTTCAGTCTATGAGCCGACACTCTATCCACTGAGCCAAACGGGCTAGGGTGGTATTTAGTTACTTTTAACTCAAAGACATTATGGCAATAAAATATGTACTTATTAACCTGTTTGTTCTGGCATATAACTCATATCTTATTTCATATTACTTGATTCCTCAGATCTTACTTTTTTAAAATATATTTTTTATTGATTTTAGAGAGGAAGGAAGAGGGAGGGAGACAGAGAGAGAAACATCAGTGAGAGAGAATCATTGATTGGTTGCCTCCTGCAAGCCCCCCACTGGGGATCGAGCCAGCAACCCCAGCATGTGCCCTTGACTGGAATTAAATTTGGGACCCTTCAGTTTGCATGCTGATGCTCTATCCACTGAGCCAAACCAGTTAGGGCAGATCTTACATTTTTTACAAGATACTGCTCCACTAGTAGTATAGCTACTTTTAAGAACTAAAGGTTATTCTTTAGAACAGTGGTCGCCAACCGGTGGTCCGTGGACCACTGGTGGTCCTTGAGGTCCATTGGCGACCGCTGGTTTAAGGAAACCTTTGGAGCAGCGGTCGCCAGTCGGTGGTCCATGAGGTCCGAATGGTTGGCAGCCGCTGCTTTAGAAGGTTGTACCTTTAGCAGGTCTCTGATCTGTATGTCTATAAAGACCTTCCATGCTTCATCTGATCAATGAGACACACAAAGACTGGCATTTATTCTTAGGAACCAGGCAATTGTTCTTTTCAGTACTGCCCTAGGCAAATAACTATGTCACATGGGACATTCTTTTTTAATATTAAAGAACATTCTTCATTTATTCAAATTTTAGAATTATTTCTTAAAGGATTATTGAGTGGCCTGCAGTACAATAAAAATGTTTTTCTCTGATTACCAAAAAAAAGCTTTTTATACAGAAAGGTCTTTCAAAACATTGTATGATGAAAAATGAGGAGGAAAGGGTATTCTATCCAATTATGAGGGAATAATAGAATCATGATACAGACACACAATTATGCTTTTATATTTATACTAGAGGCCCAATGCATGAAAATTTGTGCAAGAGTAGGCCTTCCTTCCCCCAGCTGCCAGCACTGGCTTCCCTCTAGCACCCGGGATCCAGGCTTTTCTCCTTCAGGCGTGGGCAGGCACCCAGGACCCGGGCTGGCTTCCCCCGGGCCACCCACAGCCCCGGCTTCGTCAGGAAGGACGTCTGGAAGACATCCAGTCTAATTAGCATATTACCCTTTTGTTATTATAGAAGATTCATTGGAGACATGCTTAAAAGTTTTAAAGAGCAAGATACAATAGAAACAGACTCATACATACAAAGAACAGACTGATGGTTGGCGGAGGGGTGGGGGTTGGAGGACTGTGTGACAAAGGTGAAGGTATTGAGAACTACAAAATGGTAGTTATAAAATAGTCATGGAGATGTAAAGTATAGCATAGGGAATAAAGTCAACAATATTGTAATAATTACAGGGTGAGGCAAAAGTAAGTTTATATTGTAAGTGAAACGGAGTTTATTGTTTATTAATTGTTATATTTTCTATATAAGCAACTGTAAACCTACTTTTGCCCCACTGTGTGTATGGTGCCAGCTGGTTACTGGAGATATCAGGAGGAACACTTTGTAAAGTATATGATTGTCTAACCACTATGCAGTACACCTCAAACTAATTCAAAAGAATATTGATCCGAAACCGGTTTGGCTCAGTGGATAGAGCGTCGGCCTGCGGACTGAAAGGTCCCGGGTTTGATTCCGGTCAAGGGCAAGTACCTGGGTTGCGGGCACATCCCCAGTAGGAGATGTGCAGGAGGCAGCTAATCGATGTTTCTCTCTCATCGATATTTCTAACTCTCTATCTCTCTCCCTTCCTCTCTGTAAAAAATCAATAAAATTTTTTTTTTAAAAAAAAAAGAATATTGAATGTAAACTGTAATTGAAAAATAAAAGAAAGTAAATAAATAGCCCTGCCCTATGTAGTTCAGTGGTTAAGAGCATCAGCCCAGGCATTGAAGGCTCACAGGTTGGATTCTGGTCCAAAGGCTTGTGCCTGGGTTGTAGGTTTGATCCTTGACCCTGGTTGGGGCACTGTGGGAGGCAACTAACCAATGTGTCTGTCTCACATTGATGTTTCTCTTTCTCTCTCTCTCTCTCTCTCTCTCTCTCTCTCTCTCTCTCTCTCTCTCCCAGCCTCCCTTTCCACCTCCCTCCCTCCCTTTCATTCTCTAAAAATCAGTGGAAAAAACAATCACTTGTGCAGTGTGTTCACAATTATCCAAACAGCATAGAAAAATTACTGGAAGAAAATTTATTAATGATGGTTGTAATTGATTGGTAGAACTAGGACTGTTTTGTTTTCTTTCTACTCCCCCCCCAAAAAAGATTTCCAAAAATGTATTTATTGCTTTTATAACTAAATAACATTTATTTTAAAAATAGCTTTTCCAGCCCTAACTGGTTTGGCTCAGAGGATAGAACGTGGGCCTGCAGACTGAAGGCGGTCCCAGGTTCCATTCCAATCAAGGTCACATGCCTGGGTTGCGGGCTTGATTCCCAGTAGGGGGTGTGCAGGAGGCAGCCAATCTATGAGTCTCTCTCATCATTGATGTTTCTCTCTCTCTCCCTCTTTCTTCCTCTCTGAAATCAATAAAAACACCTTTTAAAAAAATATTTTTTTAAAAAAGCTTTTTCATGGTATGCCTTAACCTTAAAATATCACTAGGTATATGTGACTGCAGAGGAGACATAGGAGGTGGTTGGAAGTCATTCAGTTGAAATGACCACCTTGCTGCTTGCTGCAGATTCCAAAGCAGTGAGTTTTTTTTTAAATATATATATTTTGCCCTGACCGGTTTGGCTCAGTGGATATAGCGTTGGCCTGCAGACTGAGGGGTCCCAGGTTTGATTCTGGTCAAGGGCATGTACCTTGGTTGCGGGCACATCCCCAGTAGGGGGTGTGCAGGAGGCAGCTGATCAGTGTTTCTCTCTCATCGATGTTTCTAACTCTCTATTCCTCTCCCTTCCTCTCTGTAAAAAAATCAATAAAATATATTTAAAATATATATATTTTTTATTATTATTATTATTATTATTTCAGAGAGGAAGGATGAGGGAGTGAGAGATAGAAACATCAATGCCCACCTCACAAGGTTAAGGTGAGACTTAAATGAAGATATTTATGAACACTAAAGTACTAGTACTGTGCATGGGGAAAGAGACCTCGTTGGATGGAATTTCTTGCCACTTTAGCTTAAGCTGTTGCTAATAAATTGAATTCATAAGAAATTATCACCCTGATTGACATGGTGTTCTGTTTGTTATATTTCCCAATCAGAGAGGACCAGGTAAACTTTCGTGGATTCATGAGAACTTTGGCTCATTTCCGACCCATTGAGGATAATGAAAAGAGTAAAGATGTGAATGGACCAGAACCACTCAACAGCCGAAGCAACAAACTACACTGTAAGGAGCTAAAGTCTGATGGTTTAAAACATTTGCTTTTCATTTCTTACAAATTATTTACTCATTCATTTATTTAACAAACATAAGAGTATAGTGATTAAGAGCTCAGATCCTGGAACTAAACTGGCTGGGTTTGAATCCCAGCTCTGCCATTTTTTGACCATGTGACTTTGGGCAAGTTATTCAAACTCTTTGGGCCTCGGTTTCCTCTTTTGTAAAGAGGAATATTAAAGGATTTCACCTAGGGATGTTTGTGAGGATTAAGTGAGTTAACATATGTCAAGTACTTCAAATAGTGCCTGGCAGTGAGTTAGCTACTAATATTACTTACAAATCATAGAATGCCTATTGTGTACCAGGAACTGTAGTAAGTGCTAGGGTGACAACAGTGAAAAAGATTCAGCCACGTCTACGGCCATACCACCCTGAATGCACCTGATCTCTGATCTTGGACGCTAAGCAGTGTCAGGCCTGGTTAGTGCTGGGATGGGAAAAAGACCCAGGCCCACCTGTAAGGAATGACAATCCTCAGCTCATTTTAGAATTTGATAGGTATTAGATATGACTCAAGTGGGAGCGGACAGCCGGGTTTGTGCAAGATTAAATTTTGTCCCCATGCCTTTTGCCTCCTTTCCTTGGATGTTTGTTAGATTTCCCTCTGTCCTTGTTGGTTCATGTATAATATTGCCCAATCTCTTACAAAACTTCTCTAAGAAATTAAAATGTAATTTCTCTTTTCATTTAACACAGTCACAATTGGGATTGAAATTGTATTGAATTGATTGAATTCAAGCTTCTCTTCAAGGATGCACAGTGGTATACAGAGAGGTCTGTGAAAAGACTTTTTAATATTGAAACAAATATAGATGAAGTATAGACTATCATGCCAAATGTACATATATTTTTTAAATGGTGTGTAAGACTTAAACTTTTTATTTGTGGCCCTCGGCCCATACCCCGGTCTCCCTATCTATAGGATAGGAGTATAAGTTCACTCCTTTATTCAGGAAAAGGGTTTAAGAAGCACTGAAATAAGTATTGTTGTATAGAGTAGGGAAATTTTTTTAACCAAAATAATGAAATACTGCTCTTCTGTACATAAGGTCATGTACCTTAATGAAGAGCACAACACTTAAATATAAACAAAACTAGATATAGAAGAAAATAGAACTCTAATGATTTGTGATCAAATTTACTGGATACTGTATTGGTTAATTTTAATTGCTTCTTTCAAGACTAACTACTGTCTGAGACTAAATGAAGCCACCATGCACTGCAACTGTCTGGCCTGCAGCATCCCTACCCCCCGCCCCTCCAAACCTCCAACCCCCACCATCAGAGTAATATAATATTAGGCTTTGAGTAGAGAAATGTATCATAATGAGACTAGTGGTAATCCCACTCTGTACTAAAGAGAACACATCTTGGGAACCATATTTTAGTTTGTATTCTGGAGATATACTAGAGCAGTGGTTCTCAACCTTCTGGCCCTTTAAATACAGTTCCTCATGTTGTGACCCAACCATAAAATTATTTTCATTGCTACTTCATAACTGTAATGTTGCTACTGTTATGAATTGTAATGTAAATATCTGATATGCAGGATGGTCTTAGGCAACCCCTGTGAAAGGGTCATTCGACCGCCAAAGGGGTCACGACCCACAGGTTGAGAACCGTTGTACTAGAGCATCTATACTAATAAAAGGGTAATATGCTAATTAGACCAGACATCTTCCAGACATTCTTCTGTACAAAGCCACGGTGGCGGGGGCCAAGGCAGAGGCGGTTAGTAGCAACCAGGCCAGCAGGGGTGAGCAGTTAGGGGCGACCAGGTTGGCAGGAGAGGGCAGTTAGGTATGACCAGGTAGGCAGGCAGAGTGGTTAGGGGCAGTCAGGCAGGCAGGCAGGTGAACGGTTAGGAGCCAGCGGTCCTGGATTGTGAGAGGGATGTCCAAGATTGGAGAGGGTGCAGGCTGGGCTGAGGGTCACCCCACCCCCTGCCCACTGCACAAATTTAGTGCACCGGGGCTCTAGTATATATAGAAAGCAACTAGAAATTTGAAGGCACTGACGGCCACATGAATCATTATCATAAGGAAGAGTCCTTTTATTGTGGTAAAAAGGCTCAGTGAATGGAGCGTCGGTCTGGGGACTGAAGGGTCCCAGGTTCGATTCCGGTCAGGGGCATGTACCTTGGTTGCGGGCACCTCTCCAGTGGGAGGTGTGCAGGAGGCAGCTGATTGATGTTTCTCTCTCATTGATGTTTCTAACTCTCTATCCCTCTCCCTTCCTCTCTGTAAAAAATCAATAAAATATATATATTTTAAAAAAAAAAAAAAAAGGAAGAGTCCTTTTATTGTGGTAAAAAACACATAACAAAATTTACCATCTTAAATATTTTTAAGTGTACAGTTTAGTAGTTTTTTATTTATTTTTTATTTATTTTTTTAAATATATTTTATTGATTTTTTACAGAGAGGAAGGGAGAGAGAGAGTGAGAAACATCGATCAGCTGCCTCCTGCACATCTCCTACTGGGGATGTGCCCACAACCCAGGTACATGCCCCTGACCGGGATCGAACCTGGGACCAAAGTTTATGGTGTGGAGAAGAATTTATGCAATGAGGACATGGATATAGTTCAGTTCAACAGAAGGAAGAATTTTTAAAAGAGAGATACTCATGTATGGATAGGACTATCTCAGAAAAAGTAGTAATTCCCTGTTCAAGGAAAAAAGGGCATGGCCCTGTCTGGGTAGTTCAGTTGGTTAGAGCATCATCCCAATATGCCAAGGTTGTGGGTTCCCTGGTCAGGGCACATATAAGAATCAACTAGTGAATGCATAAATAAGTGGAACAACAAATCAGTCTCTCTCTGCCCCTTCCTCTCAAATTAAATAATAAAAATTAAAATAAGCCAGACACTAAAGGATAAATATTGTTTGAATACTCTTATATGAGGTTCCTAGAGTAGTCAACTCCATAGAGAGAAAGTTGTCAGGGGCTGGGGTTGAGGGGAGATGGAAGTTAATGTTTAATGGGTTAGAGTTTCAGTTGGGAGAACTGAAAAAGTTCTAGAGATGGATCATGGTGATGGTTATACCAAAATGTGAAAATACAACAGTGATTAAAAGGTAATGGTTTGACTGAGATCATTAGTTTGGTCTTCATTAAGCAAATGTATGAGTAATTACTATGTGCAAAGCACTATTTTAGGCCCAGGATATAATGATGCATAAACCAGATTAGGTTTTTGCTTTCATAGAGCTTATGATCTAATATGGGAGACAGACTATGGAAAAAGACAAATGAATAAACAAGATTAAGAGCATGGCAAGTTCTGTGAAGGAAATGAATAAGGTGAGATTAGAAAGTGTTTGGGGGGCTGTCATAATTTTCGAATCAGTGGTCAGTGAACTCTTTGAGGAATTGAAATATGAGCTAAGAATGAGCTGACCATATGAAGAACAGGAGAGCTCTAGGCAAAGGGAACAGCTGGTTTAATTAGTACTTGGTGTGTTCAGAGAACAAAGAAGCATTATCAAGAAAGAAGTGAGTGGTATGGGAGGAGGGTAGAGAGGTGATGGCAAGTAAATGGCTTTGATTGAGCTCTTACTGTGTGTCAGACACTATTTAAAGTGCCTTTCATGGCTCTCCTCCCAGGAAATCATGCCTTTCCCTTTCCTCTTCCCTTCCCTGCCCCAGGCATGTTACCATTAACTAAAAAACAACAACAATAAAGTGCCTTCCCTGTGCTAACTTTCATTCAGTCTTCAGAACCCTATGAGGTGGATTCTGTTCTTACTGTGCACCCTTCAGGTAACTGAGTCACAATGTTGGTAAGCTTCAGAGCCAGGATTCAGGGGAGCCAGAGTCTTAACCCTGTGTTGTATAGCACTGAGGAGCTCAGGCAAGAGGTCTGAACTGGAGCTGCATGTTGGGGAGTATTCAGAATTAGGTGGCATTTGAAGCCATGGAACTGGAAATTCCAGAAGGCTGCTCTGGAGACGAGAGTCTGAGTCATGGACCAAGAATCAGGAAAGGGAGAGTAGAAAAGGAAAGAGAAAACCTAACAAAATGGCTCAGTCATTTGTGCATTTGACCGTTCATTATCTTGGGGAAAGTGTTTCTTCTGTTTCAAGGCCAGAGCTGACTGACAGGAATCCAAGTCACTGGAAAAATAACTACTGTTGCTGCAGTTTTTTCTAAAACGTCCTACTGGGTGATCTCTTCAGTTACTCTGCTGGTGTCTTAGTCTGCTCAGGCTGCTGTAACAAGATACCATTGCTGGGTGACGAAAGTAACAGACATTTCTCACAGTTACATTTCTCACAGTTCTGGAGTCTGGGAAGTCTGAGATCAGGGTGCCACACGGTCAGGTTCCCGATGAAGGCCCCCTACTGGTTCACAAACAGTCATCTTCTTACTGTATCCTCACATGGAGAGGATGGTAGAGACAGAAAGAGAGAGAAAGAGATCTGTCTCCTTCCATCATGAGGGCCCCACCCTCATGACATAATCTAACCCTAATTATCTCCAAAGGCTCTACCTCCTAATAGTATTGCATTGGGGGTTAGACTTCAACATGAATTTGTGGGGACACAAATCTTTACTCCATGGCATTTGGGTTTCAAAATAAGCAGTTCAATACAAAAACCAACAAATTTATAAAATCTGCTCAACCTGCCTGACTGGTGTGGCTCCGAGATTGAGCATAAGCCAGGAGGTCATGGTTCAATTCCCAGTCAGGGCACATGCCCTGATTATGGGCTCAATCCCCAATAGGGGGCATGCAGGAGGCAGCCAATCAATGATTCTCCCTCAATGTTTCTCTCTCCCTTTCTCTTTCTGAAATCAATAAAAACATTAAAGATGCTCAGCTTCACTGGCTATAAGGGAAATGCAAATCAAAACTACGAGATACCATCTCATGCTTGTTAGAATTGCTATCAATAAGACGAAATAACAAGTGTTAGAGAGGATGTGGAGAAAATGGAACCCTCATACACTCCTAGTGGGAAAGTAAACTCGTACAGCCACTATGGAAAACAGTGTGAAGGTTCCTTAAAAAAATAAGAATAGACCACATGATTTAGCAGTCCCTCTTTGGGGCATCAACCTGAAAATTTTGGAAACATTTATTTGTAAAGGTATATATATCCCTCTGTTTGGTGCAGCATTATTCATGGTAGCCAAAAAATGGAAACAACCTAAGTATCCTTTGATGGGTGATTGGATAAAGATGTGGTACATATACTTACCTGGCAGGGGAGATACCATGATCACGAAGATGTGGTACATATATACAATGGAATACTACTCAGCTATAAGAAAGGATGAAATACTACCATTTGCAACAACATGAATGGATCTTGAAAGTATGCTAAGCAAATTAAGTCAGATGGAAAAGGACAAGAACCACATGAGTTCACTCATATGTGGGATATAAAACAGAAAGCAGTAAGCAAACAATTCATAGACACAGGCAGCAATATGGTGGTTACCAGAAAAGGAGGAGGGTGGGGGAAGAATGAAGAGAGTCAAATGGTCACAGAAGGAGACTAGGCTTTGGGTGGTAAGCACACAATGCAGTACACAGATGATATATTACAGAATTGCATGCCTGAAACTTACATAATGTTATTAACCAGTCACCCCAATTAATTTTTTAAAAGAATTAGCAGTTCAGGCTTCTGTAAATACTTTAGCAGAAAGGCATGTATATTCCAGTTACCCAATTAAGAAATGCAGAAATAGATATTAACGGGTTATATACCAAACAGGTTTCCATCCCAAAATCATCCTGAAGATAGCTTAGTAGATAACACATTTTATCCTATTTCTGAAAGGTGACAACATATTCAGAAGTGTGTGTGTTTAGTTTAGGGAATATATTAAACATACATTTCTGCAGGAACACTTAAGATCTTTGTCTCCTTTCCCTTAAACTCTAAACCAGTGATGGCGAACCTTTTGAACTCGGCATGTCAGCATTTTGAAAAACCCTAACTTAACTCTGGTGCCGTGTCACATATAGAAATTTTTTGATATTTGCAACCATAGTAAAACAAAGATTTATATTTTTGATATTTACTTTATATATTAAATGCCATTTAACAAAGAAAAATCAACCAAAAAAATGAGTTCGAGTGTCACCTCTGACACACGTGTCATAGGTTCGCCATCACTGCTCTAAACCATCTAAGCATATAAATTTTCAAATTTGGTGAAGATAGTTACTCAGCTAACCAAATTAAGAACAGACAACATTAGAGAAAATCTTGCCCCTCCAGAATTCTAATATGTACCTTACAAAGAGTAAATTAGATTTTTTAAAAAATTCTACTTTGACTTTTATTTTTTAAATTTATTTTTATTGATTTCAGAGGGGGAGAGAGAGAGAAACATCAGTGATGAGAGAAAATCATTGATCGGCTGCCTCCTGCAGTGCACCTACCAGGAATTGAACCCACAACCCAGGCATGTGCCCTGACTGGGAATTGAACTGTGACCTACTGGTTCACAGGTCAATGCTCAACCACTGAACAACATGGCCAGAGTACTTTGACTTTTAGAGAACTCACTCCTTTAGGGGTGTGTGATATATAACCTTTTAAAACATATACTTTTTATTGATTTTAGAGAGGGAGGGAGAGGGAGAAAGAGAGAAAAACATCCATGAGAGGGAATCATCGATCAGCTGCCTCCTGCATGCCCCCTACTGGGGATCAAGCCCACAACCCTTGGAATTGAACTGTGACTTCGTGGTTCATGGGTCAGTACTCAACCATGTGTTCAGTTTTTGTACCTAGTGCTAGCTCTGCCTGGAATACCACTCTTTGTCAGACTTGTTCAAATGTTATTGAATCAGAAAGGCATATCTGCTACTTGCTTTGTCCCCCTGAATTTCAGATATATGATAGCACTTAGCATATATTAAAGTAAGTAATGCGGCCCCATGTGGCTCAGTGCTTGAGCAGCCACCTTTGAACCAGGATGTCACGGTTCAATTCCCAGTCAGGGCATATGCAGGCTCAATCTCCAGTAGGGGCTGTGCAGGATCAATGATTCTCTTTCATCATTGATGTTTCTATATTTCCCTCACCTTCACCCTTCCTCTCTGAAATCAATAAAAATATATTTTTAAAAAATAAAGTAAGAAGTGCATGTTGCTCTCCACTAAATCATGAGTTTCTAAAGACAAGTTCTAAATCTATGTGTCTTAACTCTGGAGCCCTAGCTGGTTTGGCTCAATGGCTAGAGCGTTGGCCTGGGGACTGAAGGGTCCCGGGTTCTATTCCAGTTGGGGACACATGTCTGGGTTGCAGGCTCAATCCCCAGTGGGAGGGCGAGCAGGAGGCAGCCAATTAATGATTCTCATCAAAGATGTTTCTATCTCTCTCCCTCTCCCTTCCTCTCTGAAATCAATAAAAAATATATTAAATAAAAATAAACACTGAGTGTCTTAAAAAATAATAACTCTGCAGCATTGGATTTTGGCCTTTTAGTATTCATAGCACTCTACTGAAAACCAAAAATCTTAGTGGCATACTTGAAGTGATTCAAAGCCTCAAAACGGAGGCAGTCACTTTCTCTGTGAGGATTTCTCACAGTGCCTATAAAATCATTCATTGTTGGCGCTCTCCCTCCCAGGAGCATGCCCTTGCCTTTCCCTGCCCCTCCTCCCACTCACATTACCATTAGCTTCCTCACTCCCAATCTCCAAGTGCCATTCCTTTACCTCTATAACTTGTTCCCTAACCCATTTCTTCTAGGAACCCAATACATGTTCTCTTACAGTAAAAAAAAACATCATCCATCATTATCACACTACTAGAGGCCCGAGGCACAAAAATTTGTGCAAGAATAGGCCGCCCTTCCCCCTTGCTGCTGGCACCGGCTTCCCTCTGGGACCCAGGCTGCTTCCCTCCAGCCCCAGCTTCATCAAGAAGGACGTCCGGAAGATGTCCGGTCTGATGAGCATATTACCCTTTTATTGTTATAGAAGATTCGTTTGGTAGCCCTTCAGCACTATGGCTGAATGATTTTTGCTCTTCTGAATTCTCTTATATAGCCTACTTTCTAGAATATTTACATATTGTTAAAAAGAAATATGATAAGGTCAGAAGACCATCAAATTCTTGGCATTTTTATTTGAAACGGAAGCTCTTTACCTACAGAACTCCAAGTAGTAAAAAATTATTTGAAATTTGCTCAAATTTGCCAAAGTGACCATTTTCCCAGGGCAATATTTGGTGTAGCCAGCCATTTGGTAGCTATATGGCTCTGATTGTTGGCTCCCCCTGAGCAGTGCATTGTAGACTTGATGGATTGTGTGAGATGACCTAATTTACAGAATCACTTATGGGTGGTGGTTTGTTTTATGTGTTGTTGTTTTTTAATATATATTATTGACTTCTGAGAGGAAGGGTGAAGGAGAGAGAGATAGAAACATCAATGATAAGAGAGAATCATCAACCCTGCACTTTCCCTACTGGGGATTGAGCCTGCAACCCAGGGATGTGCCCTCACCAGGAATGGAACCGTGATCTCCTGCTTCATAGGTGGACACTCAACCACTGAGCCACACCGGCCAGGCTGGGTGGTTTTTTTAAATTCTAAGATAAGAAAAAGGACATTTGTCCCAGTCTGGTTGCTCAGTGGTTAGAACATAGGTTTAATCAGGGTGCATGTGGGAGGCAACCAATCAATGTGTGTCTCTCATATCAATGTTTCTTTCTCTCTCCCTCCCACTCTCTGTAAAAAGTGATGGAAAACATTTTCCAGTGAGGATTAACAACAAAAGAAAAAGGACATTTTGACTTTTTATTAAGTTTTCTGTTTTGTTCCAGGAGGGTTCCATATTTCATCAAAGCTAAGATGCCATCAATTATGAGATGTATCTCAATTTCTTAACTGTTACAATTTACAATGTCGTTAAAAACTCTACAAGTAATAGCAGTGGCTCTTGGAAAAACTATTAATTCACTTTCAGTTTTCTGTCTAGTGTCCTTTACATATTTAGTTTGTTGAGAATGGGAAAAACATTACTGAATTTCCACTAACTTCTTATTTTTCCATACCAGTTGCTTTTCGACTATATGATTTGGATAAAGATGACAAAATCTCCCGAGATGAGCTGTTACAGGTATGTGGAGAGCTCCCATGCACATGGAGAGCTTGTATTTGGGCCCTGCCTGCTTATTCATGTGGGCAGGAATTGTACTTTCCTTCAGGAAGCATTTACTTAACACCTGCTGTGTGCAGTTCTATCCTGGATATAAGGAAGAGCACATAATTTGGGGAAACTTGAAATGGCTCATTGATTTCTCAAAGACAAATGTCTCTATTTAAAAGGTAACTCAGTTTGCCCTGGCCACTGTTGCTCAGTGTTTGGAGCGTAAACTCCACACCTAAGATTCTCAGGTTCGATTCCCTGTCAAGGGCCTGCACCTGGGTGGCAGGTTCGATCCCTGGCCCCAATCAATGTGTCTCTCTCATATTGATTTTCTCTCTCTCTCTCTCTCCCTCTCTCTCTCTCTCTCCCGCCCTCCCTCCCTATCCTTTCCCCCTCCTTCCCTTTCTCCCCCCTTCTTTCTCTAAAAATCAATGAAAAAAAATATTCTTGGATGAGGATTAATCAAATCCCCCCCACCCACCCCAAAAAAGGGTAACTAAATGTCTTTTAGGTGCTGACTGGCAGAACTAAAATATGTGAGATGATTTAGATTAAAATGTTCTGTTAGTGTCCAGTCAGTTTATTGGCAGCTGGGTAATTCTGATGACACTTGGATAATTACCGCTATTTCATCTGTCCTTGGGCTTGACATAAGGGTCAAGGACCTGCTGCTGGGTTGGTTACACCAAGCTGATTGCTCATTGTCCTTTGTTGCTCCCCTGTCCTCTACCAGCAGTGACTGGCATTTCATCCTATTAGTCATTGCCCTTCTATTCTTCCTCTCCCCCTTCCTCGAAATACGAGTTTAGAAGGAGAAAATTCTTCCCTTTTGTATTTTTATTTATAAGCCTGGAGGACGCTAGTAAGCTAACACATTCAGGACTTTCTGTGGGGAAATATCTCTGTTTCAAGAGACACCTAAAAAGGAAGTGGTTTTCATTCAAACCAAAGTAAATATGAATTTATTCAGTGTTTTGAGAACTCTCTAAATTGAAGATTACTCAGGCAAGATTAAACCAACTCAAGATATTCCTACATTTCTATGTCTGAACAAAAACTGAAACGGTCTAGCTTTCAGGAGGGTTGATTTCTTTTCTATTATTAGGATTAAAAAAGCCTGAGGCAGGGAGTGGGGAGGAGATCATGTGGCCAGAGTGCCAGTCAGTGCCCTTAGAATATTCCTTAGGCCTGAAATGCCTTTAAGACATATATGCTCATGGACTGTTGAGGTGAACTAGTTTTATCCTAGCAAGAAGAGGATATGAACATTTTACCAAAATGAGAAGGAGAAAAAATTTACCTTTCTAGACACTGCCATTTCTAAAACATTTGGTGGCATGCAGTTCGTAACTACTCAGTGGATGTTAAAAAGTCTGTGGTCAGTTTATCCTAAGGAAAGGAAGAGTGGTCATGGTTTCCTGGTATGATGTTTTTAAAATATATTTTTTATTGATTTCAGAGAGGGAGAGAGAGATAGAAACTTCAATGATGAGAATCATTGATTAGCTGCCTTCTGCATGACCCCCACTAGGGATGGAGCCTGCAACACAGGCATTTGTCCTGACCCGGAATCGAACTGTGACCTCCTATTTCATAGGTCAACATTCAACCACTGAGCCATGCCAGCTGGGCCTGGTATGATCTTTTAAAAAGTCCTGGTTGTTTTGGGAGATGGAAAAATTCATTATTTTGATTGTGATGATGGTTTTATAGGTATGTACATATGTCAAAAAACTTATCATAGTGTATAGTTTATTATATATCAGTTACACTTCAATAAAGGTAGTTGCTGTAATCATTTTATGAGGTTGGCATAACTTTGATGTGGAATCCTTGTAAACTGTATAAGAAAAGAAAATTAGTCATTCTCTTTCATTCACATAGATATAAAAGTCCTAAACAAAATATTAACACACTGAATACTTAAGTATTATATATATATATATTATAACCAACGTGGGTTTATACCAGGTGTTCAAAGTTCATTTAAAATGAGGAAATTAGTCAATGTATTTTGCCATGTTAACAGATTAAAAAATAAAAACAATGATCTTTTCCATAGAAAAAAAATGTTATAAAATTCATCATTCATTCATGATTTTTAAAAGAAGTCTTAGAAAAACAGAGATAAAGAGAGAGCTTTCCTTAACTGGTAAAGGGTATATACAAAAAAACCTCACCAGACATTAAAAATAGTAATAATGAAAGTCCCATTTGCTAATAAACTTCTGACTGGACCTGTAAGTGATACTGTGGAGAGGTGGAAAGCACACTGGCTCGGAATGGAGGCCTGGTGGACAGCTCAGGGCCTGTATCAAGCCACTTTGAGACCTTCATGTCCTTATTAATGGACTGGGTGAATGAGTTTTTGTTTTTGTTTTTGTTTTAAATATATTTTATTGATTTTTTTACAGAGAGAAAGGGAGAGGAATAGAGAGTTAGAAACATTGATGAGAGAGAAACATCAATTCAGCTGCCTCCTGCACACTCCCTACTGAGGATGTGCCCACAACCAAGGTATATGCCCTTGACCGGAATCGAACCTGGGACCCTTCAGTCCCCAGGCTGACGCTCTATCCACTGAGCCAAACCAGTTAGGGCTTGGGTGAATGAGTTTTAAGACACCACCACTCTTATCCCCACCCTTATGCACCCACAGCACACATGCACAATTCAGTTTTATAATTCTAAAAATAAAACACATTCGAGAATAATTGTACTGAGATCTTATCTGTTAGAGAGGTTTGAGGATAGATTGATTTGTCTAGTCAGCCATACACAATCAGGAAAGATGGCAAATGGCTTGGCTACTTTTTATTTTTGCTAGCATTGCTTCTTTTTATTATTCCTTCAATTTGTGTATATTTGTCGCCAAAATGTACAACTTCCAATTTTCTACAATTGATTTGCGGGGCGGGGGGGGAGGGAGAGGGATAACTAGTGTTGATGCAAATCATTATTTTAACTCTTCAGAGAAACTGTAATTTACTTTTTAAAAATCATTTCATGAGATAGGAGAAGGTTGTAAAGGAGTGGGGGAAAGGAAGACCTGTGAACAGCTGGATTAGAAGGCCTTTCTTTCCTGTGGAAAAGCTATGCTCTTACCTTTTGAAGACAGAGGTGGCTGACTACAGTGATGTGAGGCACCACAAAGCATCCTTTCCCCCATTTCATACTAAGGTTCATATGATTAAAGGTGTTTATTTTGCTTAAGGTAGCAATTTTCAAAGGATATTCACATCTAAAAATGTTAGCAGAATTGGGAGAGGGTGGATTTTTTTTGCTTGAGACATTTTGTGAAACAGTGTTAAATTTACTTTACTGCACTTCTCATAGCACTTAGAATGTTACTTTTCTAAAAGGGGGGATTTAGGTTAAGCTAGCATGGCTCAGTGGTTGAGTGTCGACCTATGAACCAGGAGGTCATGGTTCAATATGCCTGGGTTGCGGCACGATTCCCTTCCCTAGTGTGGGGCATGCAGGAGGCAGCCGATCAATGATTCTCTCCCATCATTGATCTTTCTCTTTCTCTCTCTCTCTGCCCCCTTCCTCTCTGAAATCAATTTTAAAAAAATAGTTTTTAGCCCTAACTGGTTTGGCTCAGTGGTAGAGCATCGGCCTGCAGACTGAAGGGTCCCAGGTTTGATTCTGGTCAAGGACATGTACCTTGATTGTGGGCACATCCTCAGTAGGGGGTATGCAGGAGGCAGCTGATCGATGTTTCTCTCTCATCGATGTTTCTAACTCTCTATCCCTCTCCCTTCCTCTCTGTAAAAAAATCAATAAAATTAATTAATTTTAAAAAATAGTTTTTAAAGAGGGGAGGGGATGGATTTAGTATTTAACCCTTCAAGGATCTTTATGTTTCTTGGCCATACTTTAGGGATAGTGGGTCAGTGCACCACTTCAAAGAGGACTGCATTTGGGTGGGATTCCAGAAAGCCCTACCAAACTTACTTAAATCCGAAAAGAAACTAGTTTGCTCCCTGGCTGAGCTGAAACACTGATGATGTCTCACCGGAGCAGAGCAGAACGGTACAGTGCAAAACAGACCAGCATGGTGCAGAGCTAAGCAGACCATGGAGGAGCAGAGCAGAGCTGTCTAACTGGAGAGAGGCCTGGCCCCCGGGCTGCTTCATAACTGTGCTGTATCACAATTGAGCTGTTTTATAGTGAATAAAGTTTTCTCCTTCACTGCAAAAAAGAAAAATTAGTTTGCCTCATGCAATAAGAAGTCTGGGCATAGATTATCCAGGTTGATACAGCAACTAAATGATGTCCAGGAACCAGGCTTCTTCTGTATTGCTCTAGCATTCATAGTGCATATGACTTTTCACCTCATGGTCCCAGGATGGCTGCTACAACACCAGGCATCATCTCTATATTCCAGGCAGGAAGAATGGGCAAAAACAAAATGCAAAGGGCTCTCCCTCAGTGAGGTTTGCTTTCCTATTCAATGAACTTGCCAGAGTTCTGTTCATGTCATTGTCTAGAATGGCCTAAATGATCCAGGCCCGTGTCACTCAGTGCTCAGTGGTTGGACGATGACCTATGAACCAGGAGGTCACAGTTAGATTCCCTGTCAGGGATTGATCCCCTATAGGGGGTTTGCAGGAGGCAGCCAATAGATGATTCTCTCTCATCATTGATGTTTCTTATCTCTCTCTCCCTTCCTCTCTGAAATCAATAAAAATAATATTTTTAAAAATAGAATGGCTTACATAAGAAGATAAGGGTTTCAGCTTTCTGGCTGTTACATTTAAGGACATCAAAGGAAAAGAGGGTTGCCCTAACCAGTTTGGCTCAGTGGATAGAGCGTCAGCCTGTAGACTGAAGGGTCCCAGGTTCGATTCTGGTCAAGGGCATGTACCATGGTTGCGGGCACATCCCCAGTAGGAGGTGTGCAGGGGGCAGCTGATCAATGTTTCTCTCCCATCGATGTTTCTAACTCTCTATCCCTCTCCCTTCTTCTCTGTTAAAAATCAATAAAATAGATTTAAAAAAAAGAAAAAGGAGAAGAGGGTTGGGGTGGTTTTATCTTTAATCTTGGTAAAGTGTCCCCCTGACCCCAAGTCTCCTGTAAGCCTGGCTCTTGGTCCTGCAGGTGCTACGCATGATGGTCGGAGTGAATATCTCAGATGAACAGCTAGGCAGCATCGCAGACAGGACCATCCAGGAGGCTGATCAAGATGGGGACAGTGCTATATCTTTCACAGAATTTGTTAAGGTCAGTCAGTCATCTCATGGTTTGAAAACTTAAATCCTGCACAGGAGGGAGGGAGAAAAACATTGAGATAAGAGCATGGGACAGTATCTCCTGTTGTGACCTTCATAACTGTAACTGTTTCTTCTACCCCCCCAGGTTTTGGAGAAAGTGGACGTAGAACAGAAAATGAGCATCCGATTTCTTCACTAAAGGACTGAGACTACTAAACTGTTCCTTGCTTTCTAGTATTTAAGAACTGGAACTTGGGAGTCCTCCTGTCCACCAGCCCCACCTCCACCCCATCATTCGTCTTCTCCCAAAGTACTACTGCTGTTGCATGACAACCCCCAATGTGTCTGCCAACATAAACCTGCCTTTGGTATATAAACAGGGCATTACAGAATGGTACACCCGGTCTATATTTGTTCCATATCATTTGCCGATTATCTCCATTTCTCAATATTCTTCCCACTCCCCTTCGGCTGCTGAATGCCACATGTGCATCTCGTCTGACAGAGAAGGAATCATGTCAAGAACCAGCCAGCATAGCTCTTTCATTGGGTAGACTATAGCCACGCTGTCTTCCCTCCCTCAAGGCTTTGGCATGCTCCTCGATCTTTTTTTATGTCGTTTGCTTTCTACTTCTTTTTTACCCAACACATCATTAATCTTCAGTCTCCCCGCTTTTTATTAAGTTTCAATTTCTTCTACTTAGCATCCCAAGCTATGCCTGTTCAGTGTATTTCTGACTTGGCAGGATAGTTTAGTGGTCTGGCCGTTTTGAACTACCTTTACTCTTAAATAGGTCTCTGGGATGTTGCCTCTCTGGGAGCTTTTCAATACTGAGCACTTCTCTCAGAAGAATGTGATCGCCTCTTGGTCCCCTGTACTCTGCTTTGTCATCAAAGGGCTGTGAATTAGAGATGTTCTTCTTGAAAGGTGGTGGCTGTGGTGAGAGTTGTAGAGCAGAGTCTTTCAGGTGACTTGCCCAGGTCACTCTACCTCTGGCCTCTGATTCTCAACATGGATATCTATGTAGCTACTCTTGTTAGTACAGTGTTGACTTTCAGAAAACAGCCATATGTTGGCAGGTTTGCTTAGTTTTGGGACACTGTCACCACCAGAATGGCTGCTCTGACAATATGCTTGGGGACTTTCCCATGGCTTTTTTTTTTTAAATATATTTTATTGATTTTTTACAGAGAGGAAGGGAGAGGAATAGAGAGTTAGAAACATCGATGAGAGAGAAACATCGATCAGCTGCCTCCTGCACGCCCCCCAGTGGGGATGTGCCCGCAACCAAGGTACATGCCCTTGACCGGAATCGAACCTGGGACCCTTGAGTCCGCAGGCCGACGCTCTATCCACTGAGCCAAACCGGTTCGGCTCCCATGGCTTTTTGAGCAAGGAGGCTGGCACCCTAAAAGCCTCATGTAGCCCCACTTCTGCAGCATGGTTTATGCCTCAATGTTATGTGCCCTGAAATGTTTTCACTTCACACTTCCAAATAGAAAGGTTAGTGTTACAGAAGTGCCTACTTATTCCCATCCAAGATATTTAAAATTTGTCCTCAGTGTCTTGAAGTTTTGCACAAAATTCTCTATGAATTTTACACTTGGCAAATGTTAATGCTGGAAGCCATAGTCAGCTCCTAATACAGATCCAAAGCTTTGAGTGTATTGTATCATAAGCAGCCTGCTTACATTTATTTCCCAGCTCCTCTCTTAGACCATTGCTAGTCCTTTAGAAACAAGGGGTCTGGCACTGGTGGCAAACCTGAGGTGGTATTACAGCCCTTTGCACAAGCCAGAGCAACTTTTCTGCCTAAGTCAGCTTAGTATAGACCTCGTTGAATCAGCCTGTTATCATCCTAACATCTCTCTTAACCGTCTATCAGTCTGCTCATCCTTATAACTACCCTTGGCTGATTTTGTCTTACTCATTGCATGCTTGCTTATTTCCTTGCTTTGGAAGGCTATCCAAGATGGATACATAATACTTTAGGAAGGAAATTGCTTTAAAAAAAAATGCAAAGAGATTGGACAGAGTGGGGAACAGGAGTGTCCAGGCTACACAACTCAAGGATAAATGACTGAGAAATTCTGGGTGAAGTGTCAGTCTGACTTTGTGATCAAGTGATGTACTTATGGGAATCATATAAAAGGGAAGGACAGACACTGATCTGTTAAAGAGGTACTTCAAAGGCTCCTTGACTTGCATATTTAAAGTTCCTAAGATTGTAGCTTTTTCCTCCTTTTGGCTGTATAGCAAACTGTTTTCATCCACAGCTGTGCCTTACTGTTCCATTAAAACTGTATTCTCCGATCCATCAATAATAAATTCTTGTAGTTAAAACAATATAACTTGGTTGATTTTGTTCATCTGTTTTACAAGAATTGTATGTAAGTAAATCACCTTCTTCAAGTTTGAAATCACAGTGTTTCCCTTAGGTTTGTCTGTGCTATTAAATGCAGGTCTATTCATTGTCTGCCTGGTGGGGGCATTCATCTAGGGACCAGCACTGTATGCCTCTGAGCACAGCTTTGTCAGCCTTCTACCACTCCAAGGAAGATTCACTTTCTGTTCTTGACTCCTGGCTCCTTAAATGTAGAAAAGACCTAAAAATGGGGTATCTATCTATTGCTTGTTATTAAGATGTCTACCCCCTCATTCATGTGCAACCTCAGTGACATATTACACCTAGCTATTATTACATGGCTTTTCACATCTCCAAGCTTTAGTGACTTAGTCTGTGCAGGGTATGAGCATCTCTTCTTATTTTAAGGTTTAGTGGCATGCCACAAGACTCAACACAGTAATAGCTGGAATCATTGGTCATATAAATTCTAACATGATAATCCTCCTTTTGCTATCCCTCTGCCTCAAAATCCATTCAAAATTACATGCATGATGTTTCATCTTTGCTTCACTTTGAGTCTAATTTTAGGGTTTAGGAAAACGAAAAATGGATGGAGTGACCATATAGGCAATTTTGGAGGAACCTTAATGTTACTGACCATGTCTATAGGTATAACAATCTGTGACTAAAAACAATACTGCAAAAAAAAAATTATAAAATCATTAGAACATTAAGTACAGTTTGAGAAGAATCTCTTTAACCAACTTTATTTCCCTTGCTCCCTTCTGTTCTAGCTATTTATGTATTTGAACATAAATGTAACATACCACAAGATTATACTGGCTTTAAAAATTGAGATTGTATAAAGATGAAGAGGCCCAGCCGGCGTGGCTCAGTGGTTGAGCGTCGACCTATGAAAAGGAGGTCACGGTTTAATTCCTGGTCAGGGCATATGCCCAGGTTGTGAGCTAGATCCCCAGTGTGGGGTGTGCGGGAGGCAGCCAATCAATGATTCTCTCTCATCATTGATGTTTTTTCACTCTCTCCCTTCCTCTCTGAAATCAATAAAAATATATAAAAAATAAAATATTGTTTAACGATGAAGGGATTAAGTAGGGGGACACAACCTCATAGACAACAGTATGGTTATTACCAAAGGGAAAGGCTGTGGGGGCAGGTAAAAGAGGGCAAAGGGATAAAAGGTGATGAAAGGAAACCTGACTTGGGGTGGTGAACACACAATTTACAGATGGTATATTATAGAATTGTACCCCTGAAACCTATATAATTTTATTAACCAGTAAATTTAATTTAAAAAAAACAAAAAAATTAAAACATTATATTTCCCCATGTTATCTGTTCTTTCTAGTTTATATTAATGGTTACATTATATTTTACCAACTAATGTAATATTTATTTAACCATTAACTTTCAAAATAATTTTTAAAATAATTTTAATTGTATAAATGATACAATGAATGCCTTTCTGCATATAACTTTTTCTTTTTTTAATATTTTTATTGGTTTCAGAGAGAAAGGGAGAGGGAGAGAGACAGAAACATCAATGATGAGAAAGAATCATTGATTGGCTGCCCTCTGGCACAACCCCACTGGGGATCGAGCCTGCAACCCAGGCATGTGCCCTTGACCGAAATTGAACCTGGGGCCCTTCAGTCCGCAGGCCAACAGTCTATCCACTGAGCCAAACCAGCTAGGGCTCTTTTTCTTTTTAAATATGTTTTTTATTGATTTCAGAGAAGAAGACAAAGAGAAACATCAATGATGAGAGAGAATCATGAATCGGCTGGCTCCTGCATGCCCCCTACTGGGGATCAAACCTGTCACTGGGACATGTGCCCTGACCAGGAATTGTACCATGACTTTCTGGTTCATGGGTCGATGCTCAACCACTGAGCCATATCTTACAGCTTTTATAGGTTCCAAAATAAATGAATGCCACAAGCTATCAAATTACTCTGTATTACCTTTAGAATGTCCTTTTTAGAATATCCTTTATAGTCACCTGTCTTCAAATTGACTTTACAATCATATCAAGCTTTATTTTTTTAATGTATTGATTTTTTTACAGAGAAAAAGGGAGAGGGATAGAGAGTTAGAAACATCGATGAGAGAGAAACATCGATCAGCTGCCTCCTGCACACCTGCTACTGGGGATGTGTCTGCAACCAAGGTACATGCCCTTGACCGGAATCGGACCTGGGACCTTTCAGTCCCTAGGCCGATGCTCTATCCACTGAGCCTAACCGGTTAGGGCAGTGATGGCGAACCTTTTGAGCTCGGCGTGTCAGCATTTTGAAAAACCCTAACTTAACTCTGGTGCCGTGTCACATATAGAAATTTTTTGATATTTGCAACCATAGTAAAACAAAGATTTATATTTTTGATATTTATTTTATATATTTAAATGCCATTTACCAAAGAAAAATCAACCAAAAAAAATGAGTTCGCGTGTCACCTCTGACACACGTGTCATGGGTTTGCCATCACTGGGTTAGGGCAATATCAAGTTTTATATTTAAAACACTATTAGGCCGAAACCGGTTTGGCTCAGTGGATAGAGCGTCGGCCTGCGGACTGAAAGGTCCCAGGTTCGATTCCGGTCAAGGGCATGTACCTGGGTTGCGGGCACATCCCCAGTAGGAGATGTGCAGGAGGCGGCTGATCGATGTTTCTCTCCCATCGATGTTTCTAACTCTCTGTCTCTCTCCCTTCCTCTCTGTAAAAAATCAATAAAATATATTTAAAAAAAAAAAATAAAAAAATAAAACACTATTAGAATAGTTTGTGCTGATTGGGATTTAGAGAAAGTATTTACTGCAGAGATGCCTCAGAGAGAACTATCTTCACTAACTGGATTTCTTATGCTAAAAACTAGACATTTATCCTGTTCCTCAAACACTGAGAGCAGAATTGCTTGGAAAGAAATCATTACTAATGGACTGATACCCTCTAAATTCAGAGTACTTTAGCTGAGCTTTGAATCAACCAGCGATTCATACTACAGATGGCTGGTATGTGCCCCTATATGTGTTTAACATCTAGTAGAAACAACAATTTAGAGATTTTACTCTTCGCTCTACATCAAGCAGTGATGGGAGATTTACTTGGTAAGTTTGTGAGGTACTGCAGACTGTTTCTACACAGCTCTGGAGGGAACATAGAACAATGAAGAATTTCATGTCTTTTAAGATGAAGTAAGTAGCCTGACTTCTTTACATAAGGTAAGAGCTAATCAAAGACTTGGTCTTGAGATGTCAGGACAGTGTTCTAAGCACTAGATTCTGATCGTGCATCAAAACTAGCAAGATGATTTATTTGGAGACATGATCTTGACACTTTCCACCTCCCTTTGCAGTCTGTTCAAGAACCTAACCAGGTATGGTCCTGGCCAGGTACTCAGTTGGTTAGAGCATTGTCCTAATACGCCAAGGTTGTGGGTTCAATCCTGCTCAGGACACATATTAGGAGTTAATCAATAAATGCATAAATAAGTGGAATAACAAACTAAAACAGGTAAGTGAATTATTAAAGAATGTCTCTGGGCCACTACAACAGAAGGCAAACACTGTTAAGCAGTTTCAGTGTTTTATTCATAAGAAAATTTTTCTTGCCCCTAAACACACAATTTCTTTAGAAATAATTCTAATAAATTTGGTAATTTGGTCAACCAGCCCATAACAAATTGGAAATACTTATATTAATAGGTATGTTGACAAGAAGGGCAGCTGAGCCCTGGCCAGGTAGCTCAGTTTGGTTAAGAGTGTCCTGATCCGCCAACGTTGCAGGTTAGATCCTCAGGGCACATACAAGAATCAACCAGCAATGGATAAATAACAATATTTCATCAATAAATTTTTTTTAAAAAAAGGATAGCTCACAAAGGAGAAGACTAGACGAAAACCAAGTAACTCAGCCATTCCACTAGAGACCAAATAATTAAGTGAAACATTCCTGATAATTTTAAGATAATGTTATTTTAATGTAATTCATAAAATTCATATGAATTGCATGTAATTCAAGTTGTACCTGGATCTATGTAACTTAATACTACATGTGCTGATTGAGTCCAGTGATTCCTTGCCTGGTTTTCTGTAGATGTCACATCTTTTTCCTTATCACTTTGGAAAAAAATTATTGATGACATTAAATGTGACATGGATTAGAAGCTTATATTTGCAAATACCCTTTTGAACAATGGGACAAAAAGCGTTATATTATCCATAATGCAAAATTTCTTGAGGGTAGGAATTCGTCTTCTTTGCCAGTAGAATAACAAATTTCTAGCTGCTATTAAAATATCTCCTGCACAAAAGAAAAAGAGAAAAATACTTCTACAGGATGTCAGTTGGGAGAAGGCTGCCATGGAGACATTCATATTTTATGAAACTTTTTCTCAGGACTCAACTTCTGAGTAAAAACACTCAATTTTAGCAGAACGCATGTGCTAAATTTTAAATGTATTTTTTGCTGCCTGTTGCCTCTTCTGGCATTGTAGAGCCAGAATAAAAAATCTGAAATAGTAACATTCTGTGTTTCTAACAGATGGCCGCATTCTATAAACTCCTCACCTTGTGCCCATGAGATCAGGGGCAATTTTGGTAGCTTCATAGTCATGGAGACATAGATTTGGGAGATGGTTAGAGAAAGAGGCATATACTAGCAAAGTTGGCAGAAGGGGAAAGGGCAGATTTCAGAAATGATCCACTCACCTATTTGACGTTATTCCCCAGCAGAATACTAGAATGGGTCATTACATGGTTTGTGAAGCCATGGAAAAGAATGTGATGATCACCAGGATACTGATGTGTTTGGCAAATAATTATGCTGGATTTCTCTCCCTTCACTTATTTCAAGGCTTGATTAAATTTATATGTCAGATCAATGAGATAGACACAGTGTTCTGCAAAGCACATGCCTGTGTCTCATATATTTATATTGTTAGGGTGGAAAAAAATGGGTTGATTATAGCTGACATATTTG